ATCAACACTCTTATATGGGTGTGAAGCTTGGGTTGTAAATGCTGCAGCGAGGAGGCAGCTGGAGGCAGTGGAGATGTCCTGTCTAAGGGCAATGTGTGGTGTAAATATTATGCAGAGAATTCGGAGTGTGGAAATTAGGAGGTGTGGAGTTACTAAAAGTATTAGTCAGAGGGCTGAAGAGGGGTTGTTGAGGTGGTTTGGTCATTTAGAGAATGGATCAAAATAGAATGAATTGGAGAACATATAAATCTGTAAGGGAAGGAAGGAGGGGTAGGGGGTCGTCCTCGAAAAGGTTGGAGGGGTAAAGGCTTTGTGGATAAGGGGCTTGGACTTCCAGCAAACATGTGTGAGCCTGTTAGATAGGAGTAAATGGAGATGAATGGTTTTTGGGACTTGACGAGCTGTTGAAGTGTGAGCAGGGTAATATTTAGTGAAGGGATTCAGGGAAACTGGTTATTATAGATTTAGCCGGACTTGAGTCCTGAAAATGGGAAGCAGAGTGCCTGCACTTTAAATTAGGGGTCTGGGATATTGACATTTTGGAGGGACTTATAAACATTGTATCTGAGCGCCTCTGCAAAGACAGTGATTATGTATAAGTGAGGTGAAGGTGTTGAATGATGATGAAAGTATTTTCTTTTTGGGTCACCCTGCCTTGGTCAGAGACGTCCGACTTGTTGAGAAAAAAAAAAAAATCATGGTGATACTAAATTATTGGCTTTAAAGTGGCTGATAGTTGTATGACATAAGACATTGAGCCTTTTCATCCCTTAACCCTTTGAATGTCGCAACCCCAAATCTGAGATGTCTCATGGTGTCACAAAATATTTGAAAATATTATTTTTTCTTATGAAATAAAAGAGAATCTTTTCCCGATGGTAATGACACCAAAAGTACGAAATTTTATGGAAAACTTACAGAATTACACTCTCATGAAGTTAGAGACCTCGGCGACATTTACAAATCGGAGATTTTGCCCACTTTGAGCCCTATTTTTGGCTAATTCCATTGTTCCAGTCAACCAAACTCATAGCTATTTCTTTAGAACTCCATTTGTTCTATCAATTGAGTACAAGAAAATGTCCATTTACCGATTTCAACTACCCAATAAAATGGTCAGAAATTGCCAATTTGGCCAATTTCATGCAAATTAAAAATTATGCCAATTTCAAAATAGGGTCCGGAATGAACAATGCAGACATTCCTGGCTCCAAAATAACATTTTCTTTGTTCATCAGTCACGTCTCCAGGCCCCTCTAATATTACTCTTACTTTCTGTTTTGAATTTTTATTCAAACAAAAAATAGAAGATTTACTGTTATGCAGAATACTGCAATATTGTAATACGTAATTGTATAAATAATGTCAACCCATTCATGACTGCATATCAGAATGGCTAGTTGGACATTTATTGGACAATGATGTCATTTGTTTACTCTTGAACATCAGCAAAAATCAAACATTTCCCCTACTTTGAGCTCCATTTCAAGGCCCTTTTCACAGTAATACCAATCAAAATCACCTCCATTTCTATAATATGTTTTCCATTCTATCAAATGTGACTACAAAAATAAGAATATAACCATAAAAACTATACGAAAATACACCTCAAAGTCAGCGTTTTAGTCCAAAAACACATTGAGTTTTTTTTCTCATTAGGCACTGCTTGCTGCAGGATTTTTTTTATACTGTGCACACTGACCACACAGACCCATTCTCTCACACGTGGGCCTACCAGCTGTCTCCCGCATGATTTGAAGCCGCTAGAATTTTTGAGTATATATACATCAAACACACTGGCTCGTAAGACGTATCAAGTTCCAGTATCGATTAGCCATATTCTGATAGACTGTCCTCTCTATCAACGAGCACGTAGAATTTACCTCCAACGTTGTCTCCGCTCTCCTACTCTCTCTTTACGTTCCCTTCTTGCTGATGGACCCTCCTTTAACCCTTAAACGGTCCAAACAGATCGATGTTCAAATCCGTAGTGCTCCAAAAGTAGATCTACATTTTTTTTTACATATTTTCAAATATAACAAAAAATAAAATGTAGATAAAAGTTTTTTTACACATTTTCAAATGTAAAAAACAAAAGATTTAAATTTTTTTACATACTTTCAAATATTGAAAAAACGTATATATACGTTTGGACCGTTTAAGGGTTAATCCTGACTCTCTCATTGACTTCTTGACAACGACTGATTTACTCCACAAACTCTGATGATGATACCTTTCGCACTCCCCTCAGCCCTTTCTACATCAACCTCTTGCTGCCCTCTACCCTTTCACCATCCACTGCCCAGCTGTTCTCCATAACCTATTACTCATCCATCTCCTTTTTGCCACCTGATACCCTCGCTTCCTTCCTGCCCTGCAGCGCTGTATAGCCCTTGTGGCTTAGCGCTTCTTTTTGATTATAATAATAATAATAATCGTAAGACGTATATATACGACCGAAACTCAGAGTTAACAGTAAAAGCAAAATCCTCCTCCCACTGTTGGTTAAACACCCTCTTGTTCGTACATCCGTTTTATACTCTTCTGTTACTCAGTCATTTTAAACAAGGGTTTTATAACTTTAATAAATACCTAAGACTGATTTTAGTTAATCAGAAAAGTACTTATCTACACTGCACTAGTTATGTTCTGCTACCGCCACAAGCATGTAACTGGTATGCACTGCATGAAGAGTGATGGCGCAGAGTCCAGTTGCATCATCCATACTTGTTTAAAACATGTTTTGATTATGTTCAGCAAGTTTAAACAGCAGTTTAGACACATAATGTAATATGGATGTTTGAAAAGATAATGTGAATTACCCACATTTTTTTTTTTCATCAAACCAGCCATATCCCACCAAGGCAGGGTGACCAAAAAAGAAAAACTAAAGTTTTTCTTTTTAAATTTAGTAATGTATACAGGAAAAGGGCTTACTAGTAATGTATACAGAAGGGGTTACTAATATTGGTACATGCTACAGGTGCTATTCACTTAACACCTTACCTGTTTAACAACTGTTCGGACTTACGCCCAGCCCTCTGACCAGTGTACTGTATGTGTATTTTACTTTTTTATTGCTTTTTAATGACTGGTTTTGTTATTAATATACTAAAAATGTTATAAATGGTGCTAAGGCAACATTAAAACAATATCTAAAGATTGTTGACACAAACCCACTACCAGTACAGTATGCTTGAAATAGTATCAGGAAGGGGCAGTTCGTCGCTTACTGACCTACTCTTAGGAACAGAACTCATTTATTAAGCAAGGAGTACATGTATGCTACTATAGATAATATAAAATTTTAGGAAAAATGGCATGGAAACCCAATATTGTCTCAGGAGCTGAAGAAAGTAGCTTCGGGAGGTGCAGTTTGCCCACCGTTGTTATAGAGTATTACAGAAAGGGGAATATGTCCTCCAAAAATACTTGCTATGCAGCAATATATACAATGTTTTTTTAATAAAATAAATAAAAATTATTTCCATCACAAGTCCTGGACAAAATTAAATATATTTGCTGTACCTAAAAAAGCATATTTTTCATGCTGTTAAATGTTTCATACTATGGCTTACTATTTTTATTACTTCCCAATTTAGGGTCCCTGTAGATGATTCATTATCTTAGTAACTTGGTCATGACTGTGACCAGATCTACTGGAGTTCATTACCTTTGTAACTTGTTCAGCTATCAAAACTTTGGGGCCGAGTCCTTAGACCCATTATGTACCTCTGTAATCTTTTGACTACGCCCACAGGATGGGTATGGGGTGCAAAATAATGATATTAAACTGATGAGAGAACAAGCCACAGGGTCAATGATCACTGTAATTATTAACAGACAAGAGATAAGATACGTTTTGTTCAGATTTTTAACCTGAGGGTTAGCCACCCAGGATAACCCAAGAAAGTCAGTGTGTCATCAAGGACTGTCTGTCTTATTTCCATTGGGGTCCTTCAATCTTGTCCCCCACACCCATCGGCCAACACCCAGGTACTTGCTAGGTGAATGGGGACAGCAGGTGTCAGGAAACACGCCCAATGTTTCTAACTGGCTGGGGATTGAACCACGGACACTGTGTGAAGTGAGAGCGTTTCCTACCAGGCAATATCATGAAGTCTGAATACTGTGAATTAAATAGGTAAAGTACTGTAACTGAACTACTGAAATTTATTAGAAAATGAACCATTTAGGTTCTTATCACCATGAAATTTTAATGCCATCTTGGCACATAACATATCCTGCATAATACTGTACCTGTTGGATAATGATTACCTGCTGCTGGTATGTATTTTCCCAAAATAAATTTTAATGTTCTAAAAGGAATATTTGTTTAATGTCACTTGTGGGTCACTTGTCTACACAAGTCATATCAGTGGGTTTGAGATATTAAGACAGATTTTGACCCAATAAATGCAAATCACTTGGGGCCAATGTTATTTATTTTTTATGAAGTTTCTTATAACTAACCAACAGGCCAAGAAGACCCTTCACTAGTTATTAGAATGGGAATCTTTACTTCATTTTACAAAATAAAGAACTCATTCTTCAGTTATAATAAAAGAGCATTAGCACATGCAAATACAGGTAACATTCAAAAGACATTTTAGTGTGTGAACTATAAACCTAATGCAAAAATTAAAGTTCAAGTAAGATTAAAGTTAATGATAATAAAAAAGATACGCTCAAAATTCAAACTAAAGGTATGAAAAAGGAACCATTCCTTTAGTAATGAAAAAACCATGTGGCCTCTATAAGAGGGATACATGGGATTAACAATAAAGCAAGCATCCATCTTACATATCAACTCCAGGATTAGATGATGCAATAACAAAGACCTTGCATGAAAGAGGATTTGAACAACATTTGGCCATGCAGATTCAAAGTCCAGCCATACTCAACGTGGAACTCAGCAGTACTCAACATGGGCTACAGACAACATGTGATGGTCCGCGAGCTTACATAACGCCAGACTGGGCACACGTCAGAGGCCATACCAGCAGGTGGGGCCGATGGAGGAGGTCTGCAAGCTCTTGTGAAGGAGCACTCGTTGATCCTTCACACAGCTGGCGGATCTGAGAGACGAGCTTGGCGTTTCCCGAGGACACAGGTTCTGCTACTCCCACACCATCCTCTAATGTGTCTTGTACCTGACAAAGAAACATTTACTATTAAGATTATTTCTACTAATGACCAATGGTATATTTAATATGTTACAGTATGCTGACACAGGCACCTGAGACAACTCCACTGAGCACTTCCTATGAAGTTGCTCACACTTCATTAGAACCAGGGGTCAAGGGCAACCCAGGGACCTCAGTGTCTTAACACTCATTCTGATTTAACAAGACACATACAGTAAGTCCTTACTTTACATTGGCGATAGGTTCATGGGAACCACAACTTTAAGCGAAACAACGTAAAACAAAGCCACACCTCACTGTCAATCATCAAACCTCTTTAAAATTTCTAGTTTTGTTTCTAATGTCACAGTTCTCTTTTTTTTTGTGGCCACAGACATCAGGGAGTGCACTGTACACCTTTAGTACTCATTGCAACAGGGTTAAATCAAAGAAGAAATGTTTGCAAAGCAAAAATTGTAAGGAGCACCTCCTACCACCACTCAGTTCAAAAACAAACTATCAAATATGGCGGGCTCGCTGAGCTTTTTCATACCACATCGTTTATTGTCATGCATATGTATGATTTTTGTATACTTTATGAATTTTTATTTTACAATACAACCTCTCCTCACTTAGCGACGGAGCTCCATTCCTGAGACCTCATCGGTAAACGAATTCGTCGGTAAGTGAGGAGCATACTATAATGGTAGTGGGTTTGTGTCAACCATCTTTGATATTGTTTTAATGTCATCTCTGCGCCATTTATAGCATTTCTGGTATATTTTTAAATGTCTGTACAATAGTGTACTGTATATTATAATAAAAAAATAGAGGAAATCAGCTTTAATATACATTATTTAGGTATGAAGACTGGTCAAAGGGCCTGTCGTAAGTCTGAGTCATCAGTAAATGAGTACAGGTCTCCCTCAACATTCGTGAGGGTTAGGGCTCAAGACCCTTGCAAATGTTGAAAAATCGCAAATGTTTGGTGACCCAATATTTTGTAGGGAAATATAGTACAATACTGCTTCCTTAACCTATTGAACCATGAACAATCATAAAACACATGAAAACATCGTAAAATACATACTTGAATTGTACACATATATACATGCTCCTCCCACTCATATATTTGTCCAGTCTCTGATACCCAAGGTCCTATTGAAGCTAAAACCTTGGGTAGTTTCAAATTTTGGTTGGATAAATACATAAGTGAGAGGGGGTTATACATGTATATGCTTGCTGCATATATAACATGCAGCAAGCTCACTAAGGCATTTATTGCATCTTCTTTAATTACATTTTGGAGGATAACAGTATTGTAAATATCACAGGGGAGTGATTATTATTATTATAATATTTAGGAGAAAGTGCTAAACCCGTAGGGATCCTAGACTTGAGGAAATGGGGATAATCAGGTTCAATGCGATGGGGAACACAAGTACAATTCCTTTGATCAAGAACCCTCACCAGCATTAAGGAGCCACCCTCCACTATAGCAGGAGGGGGTGGATATTTGCAATGCAGGGATATTAATTTATCATTACACAGTATAATATAGGATAGGCCAGAATTACAACATACATTCAGCACGTTTACATAGTCACAATGTGGTATTATAAGCGTGAAAAATACTGTTGATAGGAAGATGAACACATGCCGAATCTTCCACACAAGACGAAATCTATCACATTCACTTAGGTACAGAATTAGGTATTTATATTTAATACCAGTCTACCTGGAGGGTATTCCGGGGATCAACACCCCCGCGGCCCGGTCCACGACCAGACCTCCCGGTGGATCAGGGCCTGATCAACCAGGTTGTTACTGCTAGCCACCCATAGTCCAACGTATGAACCACAGCCCGGCTGATCTGGCACCGACTTTAGGTATCTATCCAGCTCCCTCTTGAAGACAGCCAGGGGCTATAGTATTCCTTATGCTGGTGGAGGCTGTGAACAGTCTTGACCCGGACATTAGGTTTTTCTTATTACAATGCGCCCTACTTTTAATTGGGTATTTGCATGCTGCAGTCTTTTCTTTCGAGGAGTGATTTCTGGTACAGATTCGGGACATTCCTTTAGATTTTCAAGTGTAGTTATGACATATCTCTCTCTCTGGTTCGCAGACATCAAGTGCTTCAGCGTTCCCTAGTTAGGTGCTTGATAGAATTATAGTTAGTGTCAGAAGCATGTATTCAAACGGAAGTGTGCAGTTTACAGATATGGGATATCACATTAGCAGTAGCTTATATAAATCCCTATACAAAGGAAAAGCAGAAAAAGTTTCTTGCAATTTATAAGGCATTACACACATGGTCAAGCCCTATCCGTTTCGGTTTTAATATATAAAAATATTTTATATTATATAATTATTATATTTTATTATATATATTATATATTATTATATTAATATTATATAGATGATGAGGGAAAGTGAGTGGTGCATTAGGAGTCTGTGGAGAAAGACTTTGTCTGGGGCAGGGGGATGTATGAGAGTATAGTTTACACGCTTTATTGGGTGTGAAGTGGGTTGAATGTGCGCGGGGAAGGCTGGGCAGTGAATGTCATGTTGAGGGCAATGGTGGTGTGAATATAGCAGAGATCGTATTTGGAGTTGGAGAGTGCGGGATACCAAAACTGTTGTCAGAGGGTGAGGAGGGTTGTGGGTTTCGCATGTAGAGAGAATGGACAAACGAATGACTTCAAGAGTGTTCGTCTGTAGTGGAAGGAAGGGGTAGGGGTCGCTAGGAAAGTTGGGGGGGTAAGGGGTTTGTTGCGAGGGGCTTGGACTCGCGGTATGCTGAGCGTGTTGATAGAGTGAATGGTGAAATGGTTTTTAATACTTGACTCTGTTGGAGAGTGAGCAATAGTAACATTTGTTGATGGGGTTGGAATTGAGCCCAGGCCGACTTTGTCATGTCCTGGGAAATGGGGTATTTCAGTGCCTGACACTTCTGAAAGGAGTGTGTTAAGATTTCGCATTTTCTAGTTTAGTGTAAAGACACCCTCTCTGGCAAGACATGATCAAGTGCAATTGATGGTGAAACTTTTCTTTTTCGAGCCACAACCTGCAGTTAAGGTGGAGAATCGGCCAGTTGGCTTAATAAAAAAAAAAAAGAAAAAATATATATATATAATATTTATATATACGATTACATACATGTATATATCCGTATTCTTTTATAAATATATATAACATAATAATATAATAATATAAATAAATAAATATATATATTATATATATATATATATATATATATATATATATATATATATATATATATATATATATATATATATATAAATTTATCTCTATGTAAATATGAATGTGTCGATAATAAATTTATTATTAGTACCTACCTTCATCCCCCTATTATACAGACTACACTTCTAATTGGTATGGGAAAACACTTAAATGGGAAATTTTAAAGGATACAGAATAAGAATGTAGTGGCATTTTTAAATATAATACAAAAACTTATTACGTTTTGTACATGTTCTCACCTTTTTAACAACAACCAACTTCACCTTCTCTTCAAACATGGTTTCTATTTCAGAAATATTCATATCGTTTTCATGAACTGAGCAACACTTGAGATACCAAGTATACTGTTTAGTATTATAACAGTTTTCAAGTGACGACTGATGCTTAAACTTTTCAGACAACTGACCGAGAATATATTATATATATATATATATATATATATATATATATATATAATATATAATATTATATTATTATATATATTATATATATATATATATATATATATATATATATATATATATATATATATATATATATATATATATAAAATATATATATATATATATATATATATATATATATATATATATATATATATATATATATATATATATATATATATATATTATATATCATATTTTAATATAATTATAATATATATATATATATATATTAATATATATATATATATATAATATATATATATATATATATATATATTATATATATATATTATATATATATAAATATATTATATATATATAATAATATATATAAATATATATTAATAATATATATATATATATAATATATTGGATGAAGTTACAGATTCTTTATAAAGGGGAATATCAAATACAAGTAGAGTATAGAATACAGCGAAGTTGAAAATATGGGTAGAGAATATTAGGTTGAGAATGTCAAGTCGAGTGTGTCGTTGAGAATGTGATGTTAAGAATCGGTAGAGTGTTCCAGAACGTGATGTAGAGGTTAGTTTAGAGAATGTCAACATCACACAGTCCACCACAACACTGAAGGATTCAGTGTTATGGTATTGGTGTGCGTTGCCATGGTGACCAGCTGCAGGGGTGGAGCTTGTGCTTCATGACCCCTGCCCCTCAAAGCAGGTTCCTTGACGTTGGTGAGGGGCTCTTGATCTAAGGAATTGATGTGTGCTCCAACTTCCCTGAATCGAGCCTGAATACCTTCACACCACCTCCCCCACATGCTCTGTATAATCCTACGGGTTTAGCGCCCAATGATTATTATAATTCATGTCCAACATCTATTAGTCTTTATACCTTACATACGTTATATGCAAAATAATAGAATCCAGAAAAACAAACAAACGTAACTGGTCCTTGTCACCGCTATGCATTAAATGCATATTCACATTTACGTACCTAAGTTCCTTTATTTTCGTAAATAAGTTTCTGAATCCGATTCATGGAAGAATTTTTTTTTTTTTGAGTCAGCGAAGCTGAGTGCAGATAAACTGTGAGCAACCAGAAATTCAACTTGAGAGGGGGGAGGGAATTCGAGGATTAAAAAACATATGCTGAAAAATATAAAGAAACAGCTTAAATTAATAAAAAAAATCGATACTTTCATTGTGTATATAAAATTTCTTGAACTATCGTTGGTCGCTGGGAAATATAATACTTAAAATAAGTTATTATTAAAAAAAATTGAATCTGGGTTTTTTTTTAGTCCTATTAGATGTCCCCCCCCCCCGTCCTTTCCGTGGCTGCATCACTGGG